CGATAACAAAATAATGCTGAAAACCGATAAAACCCCTGAAAACTATACATTTCACACCTGAGCCTCAACTCTCGCGGCCCGGTACCAAACAACTCACGGACCGGGACCGGTCCGAGGCCCGGGGGTTGGGGACCGCTGTTCTAGAGGACTGAGATCTGGCGACTGGTGGAGTCCTTGTCATGTTCAAGATTCTAGTTTGCGATGATTTGAGCGTTGTGACGTAATCCTGCTGGAAGCAGCCATCTACAAAGCTATGTACAAAGTGTGTATACGGTGGTCATTAAGTGGCATGGTCAGGACATGGTTTTATTTACTGTTGCCTTCCTTTCAGCTTGAAGTAGTCTGCCCATTCTCCTCTAACTTCTGGCATCGACAAAGCATTTTCTCCCAGTGAACTTCTGCTCACTAGATATTCACCCTAGAGATGGTTGTGTGGGGTAAATCCCAGATCAGTAGTCTCTGAAGTACTCAGCCTAGCCCATCAACAACCATGTCACATTCAAAGTCACCTAAATCACCTTTTCTAATGCTCAAGTTGAACTGCATCAGGTCATGTTGACCTTGTCTACACGCCTAAATGCAGTTGATTTGCTGCCATATGATTAGCTGTACAGCAAGCACGAGCAGAGCTTTGTATCTCTGTATCTACTGACGTTCTGCACTGTGAAATTCCCTTAAGCCCATATCGACTGCACGAAATCAAACATACTCAGTGTTAAACTGTAGGTCTCCGTGATTGTGTCGTGATGTTCGCACGGTGTCAGTCGGAACATCAGTCTGCATACAGAGCCGCTCGACAGTTTGATGATTCCATCTGAGGAGACTGGGAAATACTGTGGTGTCATCCACTTAATGTGTGTTTGTTTTATTAAACCAGAGTGGATAACAAACATTTCTCACAATGAACATCGGGTACCTTTTTATTGAATAGTAACAGCTGGTAACCGCACTGGAACACCTTAAAGAGAGTTAGACATAACATATTAACAAGGCCACCTGATGTTGTCTTGACCAGAAACGCTACTGCAGACTGCACAAAGTTAACCAGTGGCTAGTCTTCTTCTCCTTTGAGTCTGCGCAGCCAATCAAATCTGAGGAATCATTAGCCCTACAGTTCTGTCCTTTGATTTATCCAGGGCATACTCGTGACTGCAGCCCAAAACGATGGAATAGTGCTGTGTTAGTCGCTACTTTGAAAGGAAGGTAACCTTTAAAAGAAAATGATAATAATTTAATTCAAATTTTTAGCTTCATGTTACAGCAGAAACCACTTTTTTCTAGCTGCGCTGGTAAATACATTTGTTTTTGTTTTGTTATTTCTAATGTTTTGAAAATCAACAATTGAAGTGTGTCCAAGATGATCTTCTCTGTTGTAGTCATGTATTCCAGTAAATAACATCAAGCATTAGTTGAACAGTGTAGAACTGTGTGAACTTGTAGCTGTGAAACAGACTTCTTTAATTGCTAATGCAGTATTTTCATTAAAATTCTTGAATTAAAGCTGCAGCTTCTTTTCAAATTTGTTGTTGTGGTGACAAAAGCAAGTTTGTTTCACTGTCCAGACTGACGTGATTAGCGTGATTTAACGCTGTTAAATATCATCTTTGAATTTAGTGTCTTGCTTGACAAAGTCATTGTCTCACTCACTCACATTTCTGAAATCATCACGTGGGTTTTTTGTTCTTTTCTCTCCTATTTCCCAGGTCGACTGGGTTCAGTGTGATGGCGGCTGTGACGAGTGGTTCCACCAGGTCTGTGTGGGTGTGTCATGCGAGATGGCCGAGAATGAGGACTACATCTGCATGGACTGCTCCCGGAAGGCCGCCGGTGGAGGAATGACCGTCGAGGAGGTGTCGGAGGAGAGCGTCGTTGTGCTGACAACGTCAATGTGCGGCAGCAGCGTGCAGAGTGTGCCATCGTCATCGGTGATCGCCTCCTGGTCATCGGCTTCTCACTTAAACCCAGCGACATCACATCAGCAACAGCAGGATTCTCAGCAGGGCAGTTAGCACTTAAAAAAAACATGGGCCAATGACAGAGAACTTCACAAGATGCCCAGTATCCAGGCTAGTTTTTTAAACCTCAAGACAAGTTAACAGTTCCTGTAACTGTTGGGAGTGTCAAGCACAAGAAAAACGCTCCTGTTTCCGAGTGCTGAGATCTGCAAACAGACTTTACATGTGTCAGCCACAACATTAAAAACCAAAGGCGAGTAAAGTGAATGACCTCGATCATCTCGTTGCAGTGCGTCACTCAGCCGGGAAGCCATTGGTATCGGTATTCATGTGGGTGATACTGTTAACATCCACCCAAATGTGGCTAATTTGCTCCTGTATGACAGAGGTCCTGTTCAGAAACAGCTCGTCATTACACTTGAGGTGTTGGCCTCCCCACATGTCAGTCCAGTGGACCATCCACAGGATGCACCAGAATAAGCCCGATCGCTGCATCTGCTGCAATATCTTGGCGCCCGCAACCGGAAGACACCCTCTGAGGTCCTGTGACCTTGCTTCAAAGGGCCAGACCTGTTTTGATGTCACAAAGGGGACTCACAAAATATTAGGCAGATGGATTTAATGTTGTGGCCTCTCTGTATAATCCCCCTACAGCAGTTTAGGTCTAGAAAAACCTGCCGTCTTCATCCTGGTCCTCAGTTCAGCAGTAACAAGGCATTAATAACTTACCTGCAGTCAAACACTCACTTATTCCAGCTGTTGTATTCAGTGGCAAACAGACAAATTTGTTCCCAGCTCCAGGACATTAGTTCCCCTTCTGTCCCTCTGCCAGGCCCTTGAGACAGTAACATCTCAATAAGTAGGTCTTGACTAGGAAAAACAAATGGTTGTATTGTAGTGGAATTATTTATAATGTACATAGCTTTTAATGCAGTTAAACCAATGGATTGTGGCTTTTTGTTTTGTTTTGTTTCTCACCTTTAATAAATTCTTCCTAGTCAAATAAGTACAAATTGCAATGTTGTTGTTTTTTTCTCTCCTTCATGTGACGAAGCACACAAACGACAACCATCTCCTCTTCTAAACTTCTTGTTTGTGAAGGCGGGGGGAGTGACCTCAAGATGTGTCACTGAGTGGTTGATTGATTTCTTTTCAAACTGGTTTAAACCTCACATCAGCTATGTGACATTCATTTTCAAAGCAGGGCCTCGATTATCACGGTGAAAAATTAACTGGTCAAGCTTATACGTATCACTACCTGTGCGCAGGTCTGTTGGGGGAGTAGAGGATTATGGCAAGGGCGGGGGTTGTGCTGATGTCCACTCCTGACTCAGACAGGTCAGATCCAGTGTGAACTGACTCCGTCTGCTTTTGGCAACCGTCTGAGTGAGGCACCTCTATCAGACTGAAAGAAAGGGCAACCACGTTGGGCTGCGAGGCTACTCAAAGAATTACATAACTTTTGTTTTGTTATGCAGCCACATCTTCCACCACCTGCTGCATGTTGTGTCTTCAGACCCATCCACTGAGAAGACTTTTTGACCAAAATGCTAAACATAGATGATTGTTTCTCCTTTGGTCTATCTGCTATATAGCAACACATGTATTTCTTTCAGACCTTAGCACCGTATTTGTGGAAAACCTTCTTCCATCAACTAGTTTGACTTTTAGAATGCATCTGTTCATGTAAACAGACATGTATATTTGTTTCTTTATACCTATGTAGCCAAAGTGCATTGCAACGAGAACATGAGTTATGGCTGACAGGTCAAATGTCATCCCCCTGGACTATTACATTGCATCTTATTTTAACAGTAGAGACATGGTAGATGATGTACTTTGCTCGGAAGGGACCACATGCAGGGAAAGAGTGGAGGCTGGCCTTGGTTTAGCGTTACAAAACCCCACCTCTCTGTCCAGCCACGTTAAATAGTCAAACCTTGGTCCCAGTCAAACTGAAACCGACAGATTCAGCTTCAAGTTCATCACAAGAGTGACACCACGATGAAAGGTAAGTGCACATGTATTTGAACTTGGTGCGCTCTACAGCCGGAACAGTTTGGTGTGCAGACACATCGGCTTCCACTTCAGGCGATATGGGTGTCAGCCATCGAGTTTCCATGGCCTACTGCAATCCTCGTGTACATCTGTTGTACAGGAGACTCTGTCAACGCCGGCCTCGCCAATTACACCAGCCATGCCAGCGACTTGCCACCCTCTGAAGTGAAGATGGAGGAGAGGGGTCAGTGGAGCAATAAGCTGGAGTTCGTTCTGTCAGTCGCCGGCTCCATCATCGGCCTGGGCAACATGTGGCGGTTCCCTTATCTGTGCTACAAGAACGGGGGAGGTGAGTGGGAAGATGAGCTAAGTAGAGAAGATAAAGAGTGCTCCTCTGCAGTTTTCCATCAACTAATTCATGCACGTCACTAATTTGTACAAAAGGTATGTTAAGCAAACACCTGAAGATCTTAGTATTATTCTGAAATTGATCTCTGTTCACTAATGGACTTAATGAGAGACAAAACTTGTTATCGCGAGTTGCAGACTTTATTCAAAGGCAAAATTTATCCTTAAATTGATTTGATGATAGAAGTAAAAACAGGTGCATTCAAAATTTCTGAAAATCTGTTTGGAAAAACAACTCTTCCTTCATTGGCTGCATGTTATGCTTGTTTGACTGCTAAATTAGATACCCATTTCTCTCTCTCTCTCTCTCGCCCTCCATGGGGTGGCGGGGTCAGAGTTCGGGAATGAGCGGGGTCAGACAGCTGTTGTTGCTCCTCGCTCACAGCAGCTGTTTCTGCAGAGAGGCAGAAAACTTGAACAAGCCACATGCCCTCGGCCTCTCTGCAGGCTTTCATGGTTTTATGTGGTCTCCTTTCCTTTTTATGTTTTTGTACTTTATTCCAAATCAGATTCAATATTAAAGGTGCAGACAGTAGAAATACATTGCATTCGAACAGAGTATACCTTCAGTATAAACTCTAACCCTTGATCATTTGCTCTTTTTCAACTCAGGTGCATTCCTCATCCCTTACCTGATCTTCCTGTTTACTTGTGGTGTTCCCGTCTTCCTCCTGGAGGTAGCACTGGGCCAGTACACCAGTGAGGGAGGCATTACCTGCTGGAGGAAGATCAGTCCTTTGTTTGAAGGTAAGGAGGATTCAGGTAAATTCGGTTTTATCTGTATAGTGCCGTATCAGAATAGGAATCTCCTGAAGGCACGTTGTATTGTAAAGTAAACTGCTAGTGTTAGCGAGAGACAACCCCCACTGATGCACAAACCTTCTATAAGAAAGCACTTGGTGATTGTGGGGAAGAAGAACTTCCTTTCAGTAGAACCAGGTTCAGGGAGGAGCATAAGAAGAGAAAAGAGACGTACATTCTTAGATTTTGACACAGAAGAGAGTAATCTGGAAAAAATAGCTTCATAGGGACTGAAAATGAAAATTGTCAGCGAATCACAGGAAGTCCCCCAGCAGCCTGAGCCTACAACGGCATACCTAATAGATGTTTGAGGGTCACCTGATCCAGCCCTAAGTACAATATAAGCTTCATCAAAGAAAGTTTTAAGCCTAATCTTAGAAGTAGAGAGGGTGTCTGCTTCCTGAACCCTGAGACTCTGTCTCCCGTTCTATTTTTAGAAACTCTACAAATCACAAGTAAGCCTTCAGTCCAAACCAGCATGCTTTACTGGGATAATATGGGACTACGAGGTCTTTATGATATGATGGTGTCTGATCTTTCATGACTTTGTATGTGAAAAAGAAGGATTATAAATTCAGTCTCAAATTTAAGCGGGTGATCTCTCTTCCTCATCTCCATTATTATTCTCACTGGTGTTTTGGAAGACCAACATCAGCCCTAAGCATACATATTTTTTTCATATTCAGAATATACTAATTATAAAGGTGAATATTGTTACGTATATTTAAATATCATTTGTGCAGGTCTTGGCTATGGCACCCAGGTGATAGTGACTCTGCTGAACTTCTATTACATCATCGTTCTGGCTTGGGGGATTTTCTATCTGTCTTTCTCCTTCTCTTGGGACCTACCTTGGTCTTCCTGCAACAATACGTGGAATACAGGTAACACAACAAAGCTTCTTGAATGTTTCCTCTTAGAATGTATTTTTCCCCTTCTTATAGTGCAATGGTAAATAATTTCTATGTGGTTTTTCCCCTACAGAAAACTGTGTGGAGTTTCAGAGGAGAAACACCTCAACTGACCAAATGATCAAACCGAACACCACCTCTCCTGTCATTGAGTTCTGGGAGTGAGTTGTCGCACTCTCGATGAAAAGCAGATAGTGACTTAATGATTTAGATGGTTTGTCACTGGTGTGTTTTTTCCCCCGTTTCAATAGGAGAAGAGCACTAAGGATTTCCCCAGGCATTGACCAAATGGGCTCGCTGAATGGGGACCTGGCCCTGTGTCTGTTCATCGCCTGGGTCATGTGCTACTTCTGCATCTGGAAGGGGGTGAAATCCACAGGAAAGGTGGGTGAGAGGGGGACTCAGAGGCAGCTCTGGGGTAGTTGATGGATGTCATGTGGTGATTATTTTGGCATGTTTCCTGTTTGCACATATGCGTGTGTCGATATAGGTGGTCTACTTCACTGCGACCTTCCCCTACGTGATGCTGATTGTGCTGTTGATCAGAGGACTCACCCTTCCTGGCGCTGGAATCGGCATCCAGTTCTACCTTTACCCTGATTTGGGGCGACTGGCAGATCCACAGGTATGACGATCATTTGCACAAAACTCACTTAGACCAGTCGCAAATTTTTCAAAGAGTGACGTGAACCAAGAGCAGGTACCCCATGGCTCTCGGTTGGGGGGAAACTTGTTTCTGCTGGGTCCATCTGCTCTCCATGAAAGAGACAGGGACCGCGGGGATTAAATGCAAGGTCAAGACACCACTGGGACTGTAAACACAAGATCTACCAGGACTGAGCTGAAAGCAGACACAAAATCAGGCTTTCCCCCCTTTTTAATGGAACAAGACCTTTTAAAGTGGCTTTTTAAGTGACCAAAAGAATCTTTAACTAAAATGTATGGGAGAAGTAGGATTTCTACAAGAATCTAGCTTATTTTGGGGCAAATAAGCAAACTTTTTTTTTTTTGCTGAAATTTTTTTTGCCAAAAATAACAAGGCAATTCACATCAACAACATGACCTGAGACCTAATCTGCTGCATATAATGGTGGGGGTTATTCAAAAACTTAATTTAAAATAAAAAACATATATACACATATACATACATACATACATACATACCAATACCTAAGCACAGATGTAACAATGTTAAGGCTTGAGTGTCCTTTGAAGATATTTTATAATTAGTCTCCATTTTTTCCTCAAAGGTTGGCACTTTTAGTTGTAGTTGAGCTGTTATCCGTTCCATCGTATAGACATGTCTAGTTATAAGCAAACTTTTTAATTGTGTTTTTTCAGATTTACAGACCAAGTCCAAAATAACTCCCTAATTAAATGCCCAATGGTGTTTCAAAACAGTTGCACGGCAAGTGTTGGTTGTTGAAATAGTGCAATATCATCTCAGTTTGCTATTTATGGAAGCATGGTTAATAAATATTCAGCTAGAGCAAATCCAGTAACAGACATTTCACTTTTGCCCACCTGCTTTAGTCAGTGATGGCTGAATGTCTATGGAAAGATGTAGCACATCAATCCTCCTGGTCACACAGCGCTGCATTTGAAATCTCTATATCTCTATATTCATATCTCTCCTGTGTTAGGTGTGGATGGATGCTGGCACTCAGATCTTCTTCTCCTATGCCATCTGTCTGGGGTCGCTGACTGCTCTGGGCAGTTACAATAAATATAATAATAACTGCTATAGGTATGTACGCAATGCAGTATCCATGTGCTTATTCAATTACACGCTTACATAGATTCAAGTCATTTCTTAAGATTATTTAAGCCAATAAGTTGCTCATTTTTGACATTTGTTTGTTTTTAGATTGTTTTAGTGCAAATTGCCCAGTTTTAAATTAAAAGTTAAAATTACATACTTTTGCTGCACTCAAACCAACCAGCCAACCAAAGCATTTGAAAAACTGTGTGAGCCGTTTCACATACAAACTCATTTCTTTCTACTGTATACATTTGCCAAACAAAACATTGTACAACTAGCAAACATTACCACTCCATTGAAGTTGGTGCACACTTCCGTCTGCAGTGAAAGTTCCCACGTGAAACTGATAAATAACTTTCCATGTTATGTGGCATTTTAAAAGTCATGTAGGTGGCTAGAAAACAGCCACATACACAGCATGCCAAATAGCTCTTTCAAACTATATATGACAATTTAAGATTTGTACATGTATACGTTCAACATCTCCTCCCTCATTCACACATCATCCTTTTCCTCCTCTGCAGTCAGTGCTCTAACAAATAGAAACATGTATAAAATGTATATTTATTCTTGATATTTCCTCAATTACTTATTGTCAGCAGCTTAAACATGTGACCCTGATATCTCCAGACAGCTGACAACGAGCCAGCTAAACAGCAAAAACAGCTAGTTGTAAGCTAACATCATGCCAGCTAATGCTAGACTCCAGCGTCCTCAAAATCGCACTTTCCCTCTGATAAACCCTTTGATTAAAGTTTCACATAGTATTTTTAAATTTTATTTTCTATGTTATACAATGTTAGATTCACTTCAAAGAAAGTTTCACTCATGCTGGCTAACAGAGGCTAACAGCAACTCACAACGGCAAAAACAGCAGAGCTTACTAACGGAAAAGTTCAAGATATCGCTAGCAACTCACCTCACTGTCACTGTCATCGGACAGAAGGGAGCATGGCTGGCTCAAATCATATCACATTCCTTGCACAAAGTTGTACAGCCCCGGACCCTGCCACCAGAATAGATAAGGCAAGTACCATAGCAGACCTCATCAAAAGATTGATATAATAATAAAATAATAAAAATTTAGAGTGAATTTTCTCTTTAAATAGTCTAAAGTTTCTTTTTAAGATTATATTTGAAGTAATTCTTAATATTTAGAAGAAGAAGCTGGGGGTCGCCAAGGTGGGTAGACTCAATTAAAATCACTAACTCAAGCATCAGCATCATCACCTCTTACTTTATAATTGCCTTTCCGAATCTAATGCTTAACTGCGCAGTAAAAGGACACTTAACATATTGTTGCAGAGACTGCCTGGCGCTGTGCTTTCTGAACAGTGGCACCAGCTTCATGGCAGGCTTTGCGATCTTCTCCATCCTGGGTTTCATGGCTTATGAGCAAAATGTTCCCATTTCAGAAGTGGCAGAATCTGGTGAGGCCTGATATCAAGCAAAGTAGCAGTAATCCCATAGTGACACTAATTTGTTTTGATACTTAGGTTGGTTTGTGTTTGTTCAGTTTAAGTTGTTTGCGTTGTCTCTGCACAGGCCCTGGCCTGGCGTTCATAGCTTACCCTCGTGCTGTGTCCATGATGCCCTTGTCTCCCTTGTGGGCGGCCCTCTTCTTCATCATGATTGTTTTTCTAGGGCTGGACAGTCAGGTACAAAGCTGTGCACCATTTTCAGATAACACGCTCCGCCTCTTTGATGGTTTTTCTTTTTCATGATTGCTTTAGTGATGATCGCATTCCTATTAATGACTTTTCCCCCCTCTCCTACATCAGTTTGTGTGCGTGGAGAGCCTTGTGACGGCCATCGTCGACATGTACCCAGCCGTGTTCCGTCGAAAGTACCGCCGGGAGCTCTTCCTGTTAGCCGTGGTCCTGGTCTCCTTCCTCATGGGCCTCGTCATGCTTATGGAGGTAGGTGTCACTCTCTGGGACTATAAACACACAGATTCACACAGCCAAAGATCAACAAGTACAGAAGCAAAATTGGCCTGTAGTGTGTAGTAAATGGTTTCATACGAGTGTCTTTAAATTATTCAATTTTTTTTAAAAGCTGTGGTGTCATCCCTTGTTTCCTAACAGGAATGAATGCCTTTAGCAGCAGTTTGCTTGATCATGTGACATTAAAGCTATTGTCTTCATACGCACACATACTCTCAACAAATTGGGCAGTTGCTGGGGGTGGAGGGATTGCGGCTGGTGGTGGGATGCTTTGTTCTGATTAAATAAACTCTTACTAGAGTCCAACGTAGTTGACGTGGTTTCACCTCTGCACAGCTGGAAGCATGAATGCTCTGTAGAGGTGTCAACAAGTCCTCAGTTTGTAAGTACAAGTGTGTCAATGGTTTTGTGCGACCCTTCTCAGGTAAGTGACAAGCATTGTTATGCAATGCTCCCAATTTTAGGATGAGGGCTGAAATAGTCAACTTTTGGGCTTCAATGTTTCAGGGTCTTTGTATAATAACAGCACTATACTATATAACAGTATTTTACTGTACAGTATTTTCAAGCTACCATTCATTTTTAGTTAAAGGAGACCTATTATGCTCATTTCCAGGTCGCTGTTTTTATTTTTGGATCTTATTAGAATAGTTTTGCAATAAGCCATCCTAACCTTAAACCCTTTAAACCAGCTTTCTTCTGATTGGCTGCCCCTTGTAAAAAGACAAAAACAAAGGGGTTCTGCAGGTGTGTGCAGCAAAAGCTATGTGCCTAAGATGACCATATTAGGGATATCTCCTTTCAGTGACATCATACGGAGCCAAGAGTAGAAAAAACTGTCTAAAACTGTAACTGTAAGCTATTTTTGTATGATTATACCTCTTTGGTTTGTATCTGTTTAGGGGGGCATGTATGTCTTTCAGCTCTTTGATTACTATGCAGCCAGCGGCATGTGTCTTCTCTTCATGTCCATCTTTGAGACAGTTTGCATTGCGTGGGTTTACGGTAAGCAAACAGATTACAGCACAAGCTTTGACGAGTAATTCTGAGTGTTCACCCAAGTTACTGGCAGAAACCCAGCTGGGAGTTTTACACTGTGCCACGATGAGATGTGTCTAAATCGTGTTTTTCCAGGCGCTGATCGCTTTTATGATAACATTGAAGATATGATTGGTTACCGGCCAGGACCGTATATCAAGTGCTGTTGGTTGTTCTTCTCCCCTGCCACGTGCATCGTGAGTCTCAGTAAAGTAGATAAACTTCCAAAAATGACAATAAATGTTCTATTAGTGAAGAAAAAAAAAGGAAATAAAGCAGGTTGATCCTCACTAGTTGCCGTACCCTGTTACCTTGTCTCTGCAGGGCACCTTTGCATTCTCCCTCATTAAATACACTCCTCTGAAGTACAACAATGAGTATGTGTACCCGTGGTGGGGATATGTGATCGGCTGGCTGCTTGCTCTCTCCTCCATGGTCTGCATTCCACTTTGGATGGTGTATAAGATCAGCACCACCCAGGGGACACTCAGAGAGGTATGCTGATCGTCCTGTCAGAGGAAAACATTTGTGCCCAGCTGACGTGCTCCTGATTTTAATCTTTGTTTGCTCGTTCACAGCGCATCCAGTTGCTCATCAGACCATCTGACGACTTACCTAAAACCAAGAGGGAGCAGGAGAGGTTACTGGCTATCTTTGCTCCAGAGGTAGACACCACCAAGACTACAAATGGCTACTTTCCCGTCTCTGAGGCGGACTCCACCTTGTGAGGCTTCAGTGGTCTGTGGGATCCACTTACTTTAATACATAACATACACGGTGGACTCAGGCGAAAGTAGTGGGTTGACGATTTTTGAGTGATAAATTAAGGCAGAAGAAATTAAAAAAAGTAGCCTGACATTTGAATTAAGAATTTTCAGAGTGGAAAGGAGCGTTTTTCAGGGACAAAAGTAATTTAGACAAACTTGTTCTTGAGTCTGTGAATCCATCGGTAAAGTTTATAAGTAACCCAAGAAAAGCAAAGTCACGGGAGCAACAGGTGAATCATTGGATGTTCACACCTAACACTTAGAGAGCAACTTCTTAATGCTCCTTTATGTATCTGACAACACTGCATGGCTGTTTTGTCATATTTGTATCATATTGTTATGTTGTGATAAATAACTGCAGAGGTTTTCCTTTTGTATTTAGGGAAAATTCGATTATGCTTAACAGTAGACATAATAGGATGCAGAATAAATACATGGAAATGCAGAATACTGATATGGACTAATATGGCATATAAACTGTAGTTTCATTTTTTGTACTGTAACGTATAATGACTGTACAAAGAAACGTTACTGTTGTAAGTACGGATTAAAAAAATCTTTGTATGTTGTCCTGAACCATTTTTTCTTTGCTCTCCGAGGGGAACTTCCTAAGTCTGAAAAAATAATCCAAATTCGGGGACTTGGATGTTGAGCATGGCAGCTTTAAGGGGGGGAGGAGTCGCATAGAGCCTTTTTCACAGCAGCCATTGTTCTTTTCTGCTTAGGCACAGACCTTTAACTAATGTGATCAGTAACGCCTGTGTTTACCTGCTATTTAAATGGAAACTGGTGGATTAAACACACTATTATGTTACTCAGGCTTACACCTATGGTACCTCATTCCTTGTGTACACTGGCTTGTAATACAACTGGATTTAAAACAGGTTGGTGCTTGTAGGTGAACACTTGTGACAATTGTACTAAAGGAGAGCAAACTCCTACTTCAAAGCTCACTTAAATCCTTGCTTGGTTCATTTCTCTAAAACATGTTGTTCAAGTTGAAACCTGCAGCAAAACATCACTTTGTCAGGTTTGAACCACAGACTGTATGTAAACGTAGGATGTAGTTACTGCTGAAAAAGTGAAGCCACTGTGAAAGTGCCTTACAGCTGCACTGGTTTTCATAGCTAGCAAGAGGAAGCACTGCTGAATACA